GGGGGGTCATTCCAAAAAATGACCGCTATAAGGGGGGGCCATGTGAAAAAATTGGTAAGCTGACGGGGGGTCATGCGATTTTTAAATGGTGCTTCCCAAATCCCACCAGCCCCCCCTCCCTCATAAAAAATGAACGGTCCCTTAAATCATGCCTTTTATTATTAGATTAATCTTATTTATAGTGTTAGCTAAGCCGTGACAACGACTTTATTGAAGCCGAGCAAGTTGTACACATCATAAATCATCGTTTATCGTGCTGTAAGTTTGTTGGTTTTTAATAAACGTATATGAATCGTTGCAATGTTTCATGTTCCTTCCACGAATGTTGGGCTATTTACTCTCTTGATTACCAACCCCTTAAAGCCCTTGTTACTAAAAAAGAAACAAAAAAAACATTTGGAGATAACCATACCAATTCTCTCGTTAACCTTGAATAGCTTATTAGTTGGAAAAATTGAAAAATTGATCATTCTTCATTAAATAAATTCATCAAAGCCTATTTTGATTGACCTGTTTGTTTCACTGTGTTCATAAGGGTATTTGCCGTTACCCAGAGACGTCCGGGTTTTCTTTTCTAAGTTGGGGACGCCCTTCTGATAAGTTGAGGAATTTGGTTGTTGCACGCCCTGCTGATGAGTTAAGACTCTTGTTATGGCCTTTTTCAGCTAACGCAACGCAACAGTACTGCAGGGAACAAGGGCAAACTAATGACAAGGTGAGAAAAACCACTGTCAGAGACAGTCCTTAGTTTAGGTGCCCTTTTCAACTGTCAGTTTTCTTTACCGAAAAGTACAAAAAATTTTCAAGCTCGCGTAATCTGCCGTATTTTGATCTTTCTTACATTTTGATGCGTTCGCGTGTATCGGCGTCCGCACCAAAGCGATAACACTCTATTTTCAAAATAGCCTGCAGAACAGGCAGAGAGCGAAACGCGATACACGAGCGCGGAGCGACCACTCGCGCCTCGCGCTCGTGTATCACATTTCGCTCTCTGCCCCGCTAATCCGCCTGTTCTGCAGGCTATTTTCAAAAATGATCAGCGTTTTCTATCAGCGTTTTTCTTCGTTTTAATGTGAAAATGAAAAAAAAAACATCGAAAAGCCTGCGACTTTAAAAGGAAACACGAACACGTTTCCTTGGGTTACCACGTACAATAATGCGTTCCTTCGTGCATTGAGCATTGCACGATGCCGTAACCAATAGGCTTGGACAACAAAATTATTAACATTTATAATTAACATTCGTTTTTAATTCAGAAGAATAAGGGATACTTGTGCGAGCAGTTAAGGGTGAGGCCATGTTTTCGTTCGTTGTCGAGGAATTGAACGAGATAGTCGACAGCACCGGGTTTCTTCAACTTTTTGACATGTTTCGAGCCCTCTTAGTTCTTGCATGAAAGGAAAGTGAGAGAATGCTGGTAAGCGCATTAACCAATTGTTTGAAAAAGGAATCACGTGTATCGTGTGGTTAACATTTGCAAGGTAAACGAGAGGTCGGACCATCTTAATTTTAATGATAAATTTTTGCTAATTTTTTGACTTGGTTAACAATTCAACCAACTTCAGTTCGTAGCATGCGAGTTGTTCAACTTGCACAACTAAATAACAGATGTATAGGCTACTCCTGCAGACTATGGCGACGCTGGCTACTAAAACTTAAAATGATCTCTATTTACAGAGCTGTTGTGGTTTGATTACCGGGCCGGAACTTCA